TCTCAAAGAAAAAAAGAAGTAGGCTCTTCCCTAATTGAGAACTGTTTTCTTTTCTCTTTGGTGTAAGTCAGTGACACTTCTCTGAACTTTTTTTTTGTTTTTTTTTTGAGACGGAGTCGCTCTGTCCCCTGGGCTGGAGTGCAGTGGCCGGATCTCAGCTCACTGTCTCCCTCTCCTGGGTTTACACCATTCTCCTGCCTCAGCCTCCCGAGTAGCTGGGACTACAGGCGCCCGCCAACTCACCTGGCTAGTTTTTTGTATTTTTTAGTAGAGACGGGGTTTCACCGTGTTAGCCAGGATGGTCTCGATCTCCTGACCTCGTGATCCGATCCGCCCACCTCAGCCTCCCAAAGTGCTGGGATTACAGGCTTGAGCCACCGCGCCTTCTCTGAACTCTTGAGGAAAGGATGAGAATCCTCAGCCCAGGGAGAGTTCCTCAATCTCATCTCTCTCCCAGGGCCTCTCTCCCCGTGCTCCTGAATCTCTTACTTCCTACATAGCTTCTTTTTTTTTTTGAGACGGAGCCTCGCTCTGTCGCCCAGGCTGGAGTGCAGTGGCGGATTCGGCTCGCGCAAGCTCCGGCCCCGGGTTTACGCCATTCTCTGCCTCAGCCTCCCGAGTAGCTGGGACTACAGGCACCTGCCACTCGCCGCCTAGTTTTTGTATTTTTGCAGAGACGGGGTTTCACCGTGTTAGCCAGGATGGTCTCGATCTCCTGACCTCGTGATCCGCCCGTCTCGGCCCCCCAAAGTGCTGGGATTACAGGCTTGAGCCACCATGCCCGGCCCCTACATAGCTTCTTAAGCTGTTGCAAGGATGCTCTTTCCCTCTGTTTTCTCCTGAATCCCCCCTGGGCTTCTGGAGAATGGTCACTCCGTCTTTGTTGCTCTTATGCCCCCTCCTTGGCCCAGCAGCCTTTGAGAGGTGAATCCTCAATAGCTACTATGTATCTGGCAAGCTGCTGCCCCTGCCCCCACATGCCCCACCCCTGGCCCAGGACCTGATAACTGCTCTGTATATCAAGGCAGGCAGAGGGCACCAGAAGCCACAGCATGTTGGCACCCAGGAAAATAGGCTGGTGCAACTGTTGCCTTTATTGCCGGGGACTGGTTGCTTCATTCTTTGAATCCACAGGTTTATCAGCTATAGGAGGGTGGAAGAGGGTGGGGGGAATTAATGAACTCAGAGTTCACCTTCCTTTTCTGAACAATGGATGTTCATTGGTTTTGGCAATCCAGGCACATAGAAGGTGCCCAGGAGATACTGCCCACAGGGCAAAGGCACTTCACAGCTCTGGTAGAAGCTGATCTGCTGAAGTACTGGAGTGGGTCCCTGGTCCCTGGTCCCTGGACCCTTTAACTGGGGAGATGGGGGAGTGGGGTGGGGCTCTAGGCAGTGGTATTTTTCACTATTTTCCCCACCAGTGCATAAGTCAAATCTTAATAACTGTTACTATCGTCAACCCTACCCGCCTGCCTCTTTCCTTGCTAGTCTGGATACTCCAGTTCCCTGGGACTGGGGACTTGGACATGGACTGAGTGCTTACTACATGGCAAGCAGCTTGTTTTATACAACTTCTCTTTGAAGTCTTCATAAAAGCCTTATTCAAGTTTCATAGGAGGTAACTAAGGTTCAGAGTGAAGAAGTAACCAGTTAGGGTGCTCTTAGCTTCCATCTGGATCCCCCAAGTTCCCAATACACTGCCGGAGCTCAGCCCACACCAGGCCTTCTCTAAGTGTTTGTGGAATGAATGAGACTGGAACCAAGCGAAGGAAAATACAGGTTACAGTTCTCAGCAATGCCCCATGTGCTTTGGGCCTGAAAGAAATTAGGTAGCACCATACTTAATAGAAACTGGGCCAAGGGCTTAAAAGACAAAGGTTCTTCATGGCCTCTGTGCCTCCCTGCCCCCTCGTTGTGTTTTAATCAGGGCTGGGGGCTTTGCTGAAAGGAGGCCTGGAGGGGCCTGGAGTGGGTTCCCAGGGTGGGGTGTGTGCCCTGGAGGGCTGGGTGAGTCTCTGCTGGTTGGGGGTGGGGGAGGGCTGCCAGGATGTCTTTTCTTTCATTGGTTGGGTGGCCCTGCCCTCCTCCCCCTCCCTCTCCTGGAACATTCCAGACATTCCAGACGATCTGCCTGCCATTGCTTTCAGGATATGGATTAACATCCCAGCAGAGATTTGATTTCACCACTGCCACCCTTCTCCTCCCCAGATCCCCTCCACGAAAGAAAGCCTCTAAAACTGAGAGTTTGAAGTGTGAGGGAATTTTGACCTTTGACCTTAGATTGTACTAAGGGACCATCTTGAAAGAGCATACTTCAAACTGGGCTCCTAAACTGGGGTTCCCTTAGGCCCTTACTGGTTTGAACTCCCAGGTAAGCCACCCCCACCTCTCTGCCCTTCATCCGGAAGTGTTCCCTTGAGGGAGGTCCTGGGCCTGGGCCTGGGCAATACCTGTTATAGGTGTTAAACTAGGTCTGTGTTCTCAATCTTCCAATGGCATGGCCATTTCTTTTCCTCATTTCTTCCAGCAGCTTTGCTTTCATTGTGAAGGCTTCTACATTTTCAGTCTGTCTAGTTGGTCATCAAATGAGTTGTGGGAAATTCCTCACAAGGGTAGACGCAGGGGTTCCCTCTTGGCCAATGAATTGAATCACAAAAAGGTGGTCTGATGGCATTTGGGGACCTGGAACTGGATTTGTATCTTATTATTTTGTCCTGCTATAATCTGACCTACTTAGGTCAAGTTCATGAACAAACCAAAGAAAGCCGCAGAGATTCTCTTCAGTACTTATTTCCTTCTTTCCCCATTATTTCATCCCTCAGAGAGTTTTCCTTAACATATTTAGAATGGCAGGCTAGAAAATATCATAGAGACCTTGCTTGTACCCACTGTAAAGCTGGAGATATTGAGGTCACATGGGTGAAGTGAGTGAACTGGCTCAGGATAGCCAAGGTCAATGCTTTTACAGCTAGAGCTTAGCATCCCTTTTCCCTGGTCCCTTATGTTTTCAGCACCCTTTCCCCTAGGCTTGGCAAGGGCTGGCATGTCAGATAGGAATACTGAGGCCCGAAGCTTAAGAGAGGCTTAATTAGAGAAACAGCCAGTCAGGGGCAGGTTAAAGACTAGAACTAGACTTTCGTACTTTCTAGTTCAGTTTTCCTTCAAGCCACTAGAGTTTTTTTGGACATTGTCCTTGGACTATGAGTTTGTGATCAAGGAAAAACAAAGATACAAATGCAATTGACCAGTGCATTAAGTCAATTTAAAAGTCTTAAACACAGGGATTAGCGCATTGATTGGTGAGCAAGTGATCTGGGGGTCAGCCCTGAACCTGAAAGCCTTCCTTAGGGAAAATTACCCTTTTTTTTTTTTTTTTTTTAACGAGTCTCACTCTGTTGCCCAGGCTGCAGTGCACTGGTTTGATCTTGGCTCACTGTGACCTCTGCCTCCCTGGTTCAAGCGATCCTCCTGCCCTAGCCTCCTGAGTAGCTGGAATTACAGGCACGTGCCACCATACCCTGCTAATTTTTTTTTTTTGTAGAGAGGGAATTTCACCATGTTGACCAGGCTGGTCTCCAACTCCTGACCGCAAGTGATTGGCCTGCCTCGGCCTCCCAAAGCGTTGGGATTACAGGCATGAGCCATCACTCCTGCCTAAAAATTACATTTTAAAGATGGGAAGAAGAAATTACCTGGGCATAGTGGCTTGCACATTTGGTCCCAGCTATATAGGAGGGTGGGAGGTGGGAGGATCGCTTGATCCCAGGAGGTCTAGGCTGCAGTGAACTGTGTTTATGCCACTGCACTCCAGTTTGGGTGACAGAGCACTTTACAAGATTGTTGGTAAATAATAGTCATAATAAAGCTGGGAAGAAAAAAGTATTGTATAGTTACTGGGAGAGAGAAAAGTAGTGGCATTATGCTGACTTTTACCTGTGTTAATCACTCCCACCTTAGTATTCACAGATACATCTATTGTTACACTTTAAGTACTTACATTTTCTAGCATCACCTACCACCCTGTGAAAGAAATGGCCTGGAAGAGGTTAAACAATCTTGGTCAGTACTAGTAAGTGGAGCATAGGTTTAAATCCGTATCTGTGCCAAGTACTTAACCACTGCACTATATCCTGCTGTGATTTGTTTGTGTATATTATCTTACCTAAAAAATTGTGAACACCTTCAACCAGGCATTTTGTCTCTTTTGTTTATTTCTGTGTTTCCAGCATCTGGAACAAAGTAGTATGTGAAGTAGGTATTAATTAAATAAATGGTTGTTAGATTAATTAATAATGCCTTGGGCCAGGTGTTGTGGCTTATGCCTGTAATCTCAGCATTTTGGGAGGCCGAGATGGGCGGATCACCTGAGGTCTGCAATTCAAGACCAGCCTGGCCAATATAGTGAAACCCCGTCTCTACTAAAAATACAGAAATTAGCCTGATGTGGTGGCGCACACCTGTAATCCCAGCTACTAGGGAGGCTGAGGCAGGCAAATCACTTGAACCCAGGGGGCAGAGGTTGTAGTGAGCCGAGATTGTGCCATTGCACTCCAGCCTGGGTGGCAGAGCGAGACTGTGTCTCAAAAACAAATAAAAAAATAAAAATGTCTTATTTAGCTTTGTATTCCTAGTGCCCGGAACATAGTCATGGTAACCTGCTTACTGAATAAAGGAATGAGTGAGAAAGTAGTGGGACAAACAAAACAGTTGTGTGTGTGTGTGTGGTTTTTTTTTGTTTGAAATGTTAACTGAGTGCTTAGAACACCTGATTCTGCATTCCTAGGTGTGGTAGCATTCATGATAATTTTGGTCTCTAAAGCGAGGTACCCCTACTGCAAGTTTCCATTCCTAAAAGTTTATTCTTAGATTTTAAGACTATGGTGTTGGTGAGCTGAAGGTAGGGAAATAGAAACTGGGGCAAGGATTAGAAACTGCGAGTTTACAGACCCCTCATGTATTCAGAGCTTTCTTTAATTCTGTTCCCTCTTTACTTTCAGGAGCCGGAAAATTCAGATCCGAAATATTCCACCTCAGCTCCGATGGGAAGTAAGTGTTTGGGGGAAACTCTAAATGGAATGGGATACTGGAGCCTAGAAAGTACATCTGGACCAGCTGGAGCTGCCAGAAATGATTGGGGAGGTCTGGGGCCAGGCCAGGGAGGCCTGGGTCCCGTCCGTCCGTCCGTCCGTCCGTCCTTCCGTCTGTCCTTCCTCGTCCTTTCTCTCTGGTTTTTTTTTTTTTTTTTTTTTTGAGATGGAGTTTTGCTCTCTGCCCAGGCTGGAGTGCAGTGGCGTGGTCTTGACTCACTGCAACCTCTTCCTCCAGGTTCAAGCGATTCTCCTGCCTCAGCCTCCCAAGTAGCTAGGATTACAGGCGTGTACCCCCATGCCCGGCTAATTTTGTATTTTTATTAGAGACAGAGTTTTACTGTGTTGATCAGGCTGGTCTCAAATGCCTTACCTCAAGTGAGCCACCGCGCCTAGCCTTATCTTTTCTTAACCCACAGCCCCATCTTTTAGGTTGTCCCTATGGTGAGAGGCATTAGGGAGATGGTAGATGAGTGTTTCCTAAGCCCTAAACTTGGTAATGTGGCAGAAGATAATTTAGGGACCCAGGCAGCCCAGGTCTGCTTCTCAAAAAGCCCTTAAGGCAGAACTTAAGTACAGTCCTGCAAAGACACCCCATCCGCATTAGCACCCCAGAAAGGTCACACCGGACAGGTAATAATGCTCAAACACTCCTATGACTCTGTGTATGCCCCATTGCTTTAGGATGCAGGGTGTCCAGTGGCTGCTTTGCAAGGGTCCTGGGACTCAGAGTTAAGTGTACTTCCCTTCTCCATGCTCCTAGGTACTGGACAGCCTGCTGGCTCAGTATGGGACAGTAGAGAACTGTGAACAAGGTAAGAGTGGGCCAGGCATGGGGTGGTGCTTGTGGTGGGGGTTGGAGGAGTTTGGTGCATTTGCTCTGCTTCACTTTGTTTCTTTCTTTTTCTTTTTCTTTTTTCTTTTCTTTTCTCTTTTTTTTTTTTTGAGATGGAGTGTTGCTCTGTCACCAGGCTGGAGTGAAGATGGCATGATCTTGGCTCATTGCAACCTCCACCTCCTGGGTTCAAGCAATTCTCCTGCCTCAGCCTCCTGAGTAGCTGGGATTACAGACACATGCCACCATACCCAGCTGATTTTTGTATTTTTAGTAGAGACGTGTTTTACCATGTTGGCCAGGATGGTCTCATCTCCTGACCTTGTGACCTGTCCGCCTCAGCCTCTTAAAGTGCTGGGATTACAGGTGTGAGCCACCACGCCCGGCCTCTGCTTCACTTTCCATGATCAAATCAACATTGAAAACCAAAAGAAGAGGCCGGGCGCGGTGGCTCAAGCCTGTAATCCCAGCACTTTGGGAGGCCGAGACGGGCGGATCATGAGGTCAGGAGGTCGAGACCATCCTGGTTAACACGGTGAAACCCCGTCTCTACTAAACATACAAAAAACTAGCCGGGCGAAGTGGCGGGTGCCTGTAGTCCCAGCTACTTGGGAGGCTGAGGCAGGAGAATGGCGTGAACCCGAGAGGAGGAGCTTGCAGTGAGCTGAGATCCGGCCACTGCACTCCAGCCTGGGTGACACAGCAAGACTCTGTCTCAAAAAAAAAAAAAAAAAAAAGAAAACCAAAAGAAGAAAGGCAGATAGAATGTGTTACACAGGGAAGTACATTGGATTGGGGACCTGGACTCTTGGCCTCGGCTTTGGGTCTTAGTTATCTGTGGAACTGGGTTTCTCTTCTGTTTAGCAGGAGGCTTGAACAAAGCCACTCCTTCCCAGCATGGAGTCTCCAGGTTCTTAGGGATCAACCAAGGTAGAAATGGCTATCCCAGGATTTTAAAAATAGTCTAAGAACAGAAATCTTGCATTCAACCTGAGTTACCCTGCAGCCATTTTACTTTAAAAGCTTCATGTTTCTTGTTTTTGGCTGGAATAATCAACCAGTTGTCTCTTTTTAGAAGCTCTGATTGGTAGCAATGTATGTCTTTGGTCAATTAAAAAAAAAGCAGAGGATTTAATACTTAGTTAATGTAGTTTGATAGATAAGCAAAATCGTTTGAAGAGTAGGCCCACAGAAGGAAAAATAATAGAAGAATTTTAGGTCATAAAAAGTTTGCCACCTGGGTGCAGTGACTCACACCTGTAATGCCAGCACTATGGGAGGACAAGGTGGGAGGATCTCTTGAGCCACAAGAGTTTTGAGACCAGCCTGGGAAAGAGTGAGACTCCATGTCTACAAGAAATTACCTGGGAGTGGTGGTGGATACCTGCAGTCCCAGTCAGTAGGGAGGCTGAGGCAAGAGGATTGCTGGTGCCCAGGAGGCCAAGGCTGCAGTAAGCTGTGATTGTGCCACTGCACTCCAGCCTGGATGACAGCAAGATTCTTTATTGTCTCAAAAACAAAATGAAACAAGTTTTGTCCATTTAGTAATGGAAAGTGACTTTGGTTGGATATAAGGTGGTCTTTACGCAGACAAGATACTGGGTTAGGTTTGGAGATCTTAAAGAAACAAGTGGATAATCACTTGGTTTGAGATTTAAATATTCCTCTTCAAATTATTTGTGGAAAGGGGCAAGCTATAAATGATTATAAATGATGAAAACCTTCACCCACCCAAGGATAAACTGATGAATCTATCAAACACGTTCTAACCTGCTCTAATCTTGTAGCTTGCCCTTTATCTTAAATGCCAGGATGCAGCAGGACTAACTGATAACTACTGCTCAGTACTGTTCACAGTTTAGACTAATGAATACGTTACTTCTGGACAAACAGTAAGATTGAGCAGTGGCTTGGAAGCAAGTGCATGCTGAATTTCACTGAGTGGTGTATAAGGAGTCAACACTAGTTTAAATTTATCCAAGGCTCACTAGGGAGCTGTAACACACCCTATCTGGAAAGATATCTGCTACTTTGAGAGAACCGTGTGGGAAATGTTTGACTTTGTTGGACAATAGAGAAAGTCCTTAAGTCTGCTCAAAAGTCACTGTGAGTGAGGTCCATTCTTTCTACCTATCTCATCCTCTTTCATGTGATTTATTATTATTATTAGTTTTTGAGATACAGTCTCTCTCTGTCACCCAGGCTGGAGTGCAGCGGTGTGATCTCGGCTCACTTCAACCTCTGCCTGCTGGGTTCGAGCGATTCTTCTGCTTCAGCTCCCAAGTAGCTGGGACTACAGGCACCCACCACCACACCCAGCTAATTTTTGTACTTTAGTTTTGTACTTTAGTAGAGAGTAGAGCTAATTTTTGTACTTTTTTCACCATATTGACTAGGCTGGTCTCCTGAGCTTGTGATCCACCTGCCTTGGCTTCCCAAAATGCTGGGATTACAGGAGTGAGCCACCACACCTGGCCTCATCTGATTTATATTTCTCCATAGCAGTCATCACTGTCAAATATTCTGTAGAACTTGCTTATTTATTATGCTTATTGTTGTCTCTCTCTCCATAAACTCCACAAAGGCAGAGGTTTTTTTGGTTTACTACTGTATTTCCAGTCACTGGAAGATTGTTCTTGCAGAAGCTTCCTTACCACTGAGGAGGGAGAGACCTGCTGATGCAGGCCAGAGCAGTTAAGAGTGGTCTGGGCGGGCCGGGCACGGTGGCTCAAGCCTGTAATCCCAGCACTTTGGGAGGCCGAGACGGGCGGATCACGAGGTCAGGAGATCGAGACCATCCTGGCTAACACGGTGAAACCCCGTCTCTACTAAAAAATACAAAAAAAACTAGCCGGGCGAGGTGGCGGGCGCCTGTAGTCCCAGGTACTCGGGAGGCTGAGGCAGGAGAATGGCGTAAACCCAGGAGGCGGAGCTTGCAGTGAGCTGAGATCTGGCCACTGCACTCCAGCCTGGGCCACAAAGCGAGACTCCGTCTCAAAAAAAAAAAAAAAAGAGTGGTCTGGGCCTGGCGTGGTGGCTCATGCCTGTAATCCCAGGACTTTGGGAGGCTGAGAGGGGAGGAATAGCTTTAGCACAGGAGTTAAAGGCTTCTGTGAACTCTGATTACGCCACTGTACTCCAGCCTGGATGACAGATTCTTTGCACTGAAGTTTGTGACCAAGTGCCTTCTCTGTCCTCAGTGTTGTGGGGGCAGAGGCTTAATTTAAGCCATGGTCCCCCACCCCATGGTTGAGCAAGCCCAGGGGACCGAAATTCACAAGACATTGGTATAGGAGAAAGAAGGTTAACTTTATTTATTTATTTATTTGAAACAGAGTCTAGTTCTGCCTCCTAAGCTGGAATGCAGTGTGATCATAGCTCACTGCAGCCTCAAACCTCTGGGATCAAGTGATTCTCCTGCTGCCTTAGCTTCCCAAGTAGCTGGGACTGTCGGTGTTTACTACTGCACCCGGCTGATTTTTTTTTTTTTTTTTTAAATTTTTTGTAGAGATGGGGTCTCCCTGTGTTGCCAGGCTGATCTCAGATTCCTGGCACGACCTTCTGAAGTGATTCTCCCACCTCAGACGGTTAATTTTAATAATTGTAGGTGAGAAATATGTTTCTAGACTGCTTGGGATTCTAATGTCAGCTTGCCAAACCATTCTCCTAGAGCCAAGAATTTTGATGGGATCAATGGCTAGCATCCTGAGGCTACAGTGGCCACATCCAAGACAGGAAATCCTTTCCCCTGGAAAACATGCAAATTCTTTTTTTTCTTTCTAGACTTCTATAGCCATTCCTGTCAGTCCATTTAGCAGGATTTTTTTTTTTTTTTTTTGAGATAGAGTTTCGCTTTGTCACCCAGTCTGAAGTTCAGTGGCGCAATGTCTGCTCACTGCAACCTCCGCCTCCTGAGTTGAAGCAATTCTCCTGTCTTAGCCTCCCAAGTAACTGGGATTACAGGCATGCACCACCACACTGGGCTAATTTTTGTATTTTCAGTGGAGACTGGGTTTTGCTATGTTGGCCAGGCTGGTCTTGAACTCCTGACCTCAAGTGATGCACCTGCCTCGGCCTCCTGAAATGCTGGGATTACAGGTGTGAGCCACTGTGCCCGGCCTCCGTTTAGCTAGATTTTGATACACGTTGGTTCTTGTGTCCTTGAGAATACATAGACTGCTAGAATGGATTTAGGTGTTTACAAGTTTTGTCAGCCATATCTTTGCAGGCCATTTCTTGGGATGTTTACTTCTATAAATTGCTAATCTCATTCAGCGTGTGTGTGTGTGTGTTTTTTTTTTTTGGAGACAGAATGTCACTCTGTTGCCCAGGCTGGAGTGCAGTGGCACCATCTCGGCTCACTGCAAGCTCCACCTCCCAGGTTCATGCCATTCTCCTGCCTCAGCCTCCCAAGTAGCTGGGACTACAGGCGCCCGCCACCACACCCGGCTAATTTTTTCTATTTTTAGTAGAGACAGGGTTTCACTGTGTTAGCCAGGATGGTCTTGATCTCCTGACCTCGTGATCCACCCACCTTGGCCTCCCAAAGTGCTGGGATTACAGGCATGAGCCACCGCACCCGGCCGCATGTGTTGATTTTTAACTAGTTCAACTTTTTTTTTTTTTTTTTTTGAGACAGAATCTTGCTCTGTTGCCCAGGCTGGAGTGCAGTGGCACGATCTTGGCTCACTGCAACCTCCACATCCCGGGTTCAAGCGATTCTCCTGCCTCAGCCTCCCAAGTAGCTGGGACTACAGGTGCACGCCACCACACCCAGCTAATTTTTGTAATTTTAGTAGAAATGGGTTTCACCATATTGGTCAGACTGGTCTCAAACTCCTGACCTCAGGTGATCTACCTGCCTCGGCCTCCCAAAGTGCTGGGGATTTACAGGTGTGAGGTACCGCTCCCGGCCAACTAGTTTAACTTTCTAAAGGGAATTTACTCCCTTTAGAGTGTGTGGAGGTGGGTAGTAGTGTTTGCGTTGCCATATAGCCTTGTTGTGCAACTGCTGATAGGGTGGCTACACCCATTTGTGTATCTACTCTCTTGGGAACCGACTGAGCAAATTACAAAAAGCAGGAAGGTAAATTTGAATTTTCTTTCTTTCTTTGTTTTTTTGAGACTGGGTCTCACTCCATCACCCAGGCTGGAGTGCAGCGGCACTATCTTGGCTCATTGCAACCTCTGCCTCCTGGGTTCAAGTGATCTTCCCACCTCAGCCTCCTGAGTAGCTGGGACTCAGCACCATGCCTGGTTAATTTTTGTGTTTTTTGTTAGCGATAGGGTTTTGCCATGTTGACCAGGCTGGTCTCTCAAGCTCAAGTAATCCACCTGCCTCTGCCTCCCAAAGTCCTGGGATTACAGGCACGAGCTACCATGCCCTGCCTGGTAAATTTGAATTTTCAAGTAGCTCCCTTGAAAGGGGAAGGTTTTTTGTTTTTTTGCCTTTTTATTCAAGTTAGAGTATCTGCCAGGTGTCCTTTTTTTTTTTTTTTTTTTTTTTTTTTGAGGCGGAATCTCCCTCTGTTGCCCAGGTTCAGAGTGCAGTGGCACGATCTCACCTCACTTCAATCTCTGCTTCCCAGGTTCAAGTGATTCAAGCAGTTCTCCTGCCTCAGCATCCCCAGTAGCTGGGACTATAGGCGCGTGCCACTACACCCAGCTAATTTTTGTATTTTTTAGTAGAGACAAGAGTTTCACTGTGTTGGCCAGGCTGATTTCCTGGGCTCAAGTGATCTGCCAGCCTCGCCCTCCCAAGGTGCTAGGATTTGCAGGCGTGATCCACCGCGCCTGGCCTGCCAGATGTCTTCTTGATCTCAAAATGTGGAAAGCTGGAGTTGGAGATTCATTGGTTGGGCCTCCAGATTTCCCTGCTCTGACGCTGTCCTCTCTTTTCTCTGCAGTGAACACTGAGAGTGAGACGGCAGTGGTGAATGTCACCTATTCCAACCGGGAGCAGACCAGGCAGTGAGTGGGTTGGAAAGTGGGGCTGGGGGCGGTGGGGGGGCGCTCTGAGGGGGGTGGTGTGAGCCTGGTCCCACTTTTTTCCTCAGGGGGTCTAGGCAGGCTGGGGTCCCCATCCAGGGTTCTGTTATTAGCCCAAGCCAAACCGAGAGTCTTGCATAAAAGGTGTCTTCAGGGGGTCTCCTTCATGTCCGTTGTTTCAGGGATCTCAAAGGCTCAGAAACATCAAGATCGATAGCAAAAATATATAGAAGGAAGGGACCCAAAGCCCTCCCAGATAAGTGGGAAATTCCTTGCGGAGAAAATGTCCTCTCCCCGCTGATAGGTTTCTGGTTGCTCTGGGACCTTAGAGTCCTTTGCTGTGTTCTTGGCGCCATCTAGTGATAATGAAGGGGAACTTCGGGGTTCCAAAAAGATTCCTCAACCTTGGGATGCTGAGACATTTTATTGCAGTGATGGTCGTGAACCTAGCTGGTGATAGTTTTGGGGTCCTTTTAGTCCCATCGTACCCACAATGTTAGCTCCTAGCCCTTTGGTTGAGCAGTTATGCTTCTCACTCGCTGTTACAGACAGACTACACATTTTACACATTATTCATATTAATATCTGAGCCTGTTATAGGCTTTTGCCATATTTTGCTTTGGGTTTTCTTGCTTCTTCAACATGCCGCCTTCTCCAATCTAATAATACTTTGTAAAATCCTACCTGTTATTAAAATACCTACCGTTTTCTTTTAGATACCTCCTGGGCTCAGAATTTTCTAGAGGTTCCTACTGCCCCTTGTGGCCACCAGGGTTTGGCTTTAAAGCTCATGTCAACAGTTGCTCATTCTCTCCTGCCTACTGTTGCCTTGTTCTTGTTTTTTGGAGACAAGTCTCACTCTGCCACCCAGGCTGGAATTTAGTGGCATGATACCAGCTCACTGCAACCTCAACCTCCTGGGCTCAAGCAATCCTCCCACCTCAGCCTGCCAAGTAGGTGGGACTACAGACATACACAATTATGCCTGGTTCATTTTTGTATTTTTTGTAGAGACGAGGTTTCACCATGTTGCCCAGGCTGGTCTCGAACTCCTGGGCTCAAGTGATCTGCCTGCCATGGCCTCCCAGAGTGCTGGGATTATAAGCTTGAGCCACCTCACTTGCCCTTTGTTACCTCATTAACATTTCTGGTTTTTTTTTTTTTTTTTTTTTTTTTTGAGACTGAGTCTTGTTCTGTCTTGCTCTGTCGTCCAGGCTGGAGTGCAGTGGCGCAATCTTGGCTCACTGCAACCTGCGCCTCCTGGGTTCAAGCAATTCTTGTGCAAGAAAGCCCAAAGGAAAATGTGGCAAAAGCCTATAACAGGCTCGGATATTAATAAAAATGAGTAAAGTGCAAAATGTGTAGTCTGTCTGTAACAGCCTCCTGAATAGCTGGGACTACAGGTGGTACACCACCATGCCTGGCTGGCTAACTTTTTTTTAATCTTTTAATTTTAATTTTTTTCTTTTTGAGATGGAGTCTCACTCTGTCGCCCAGGCTGGAGTTCAGTGGCATGATCTCGACTCACTGCAACCTCCACCTCCCAGGTTCGAGTGATTCTCCTGCCTCAGTCTCCTGAGTAGCTAGGATTACAGGCATGTACCACCACACCTGGCTAATTTTTGTGTATTTAGTAGAGATGGGGTCTCGCCATGTTGGCCAGGAAGGTCTCGAACTCCTGACTTCAAGTGATCCACCCACCTCAGCCTCCCAGAGTGCTGGAATTACAGGTGTGAGCCATCGCACCCAGCTGCCTTGTTAACATTTCTAACCAGTGTCAGCCTTGGGAATGGATGATGCTTATGCCCTCCCTTTAGTCTTATTCAGCCCCATTTTACAGACATACGAAATAGACTGAGACTCTAGTCTCCAAGTGGTAAGCAAGCCATTCTGTCTCCAATTCCTACGTCTTTGCCACAGTTTAAAAAAATAATAATTATTTTATTTTTTGAGACACTCTCTCCCTGTTGCCCAGGCTGGAGTGCAGTGTTGCAAACACAGCTCATTGCAGCTTCAACCTCCTGGGCTGAGGGGATACTCCTGCCTCAGCCTCTAAAGCAGCTGGGGTAACAGGCATGCACCACGATGCTGGGCCAATTTAAAAATTTTTAATATTTAGAGATGGGAGTATCACTATGTTGCCCAGGCTAGTCTCAAACTCCTGGCGTTAGCGATCTTCCTACCTCAGCCTCCCAAAGTGCTAGAGTTATATAATGGTTTGCCTTTTTTTTTTTCTTTTTTTCTTTTTTTGAGATGGAGTCTTGCCCTGGCTGGAGTGCAATGATGCGATCTCTTCACTGCAGCCTCCACCCCCCGGGTTCCAGTGATTCTCCTGCCTCAGCCTCCCGAGTAGTTGGGACTACTGGACTACAGGTGTCCGCCACCATGCCTGGCAATTTTTTTTAAATTTTTTGGTAAAGACGAGGTTTCCCCACGTTGGCTGGGCTGGTCTTGGACTCCTGACATCAGGTGATCCGCCCACCTTGGCCTCCCAAAGTGTTGGGATTACAGGCATGAGCCACTGTACCTTGCCTTTTTTATTTATTATTTTTTTAAAAACCTCAGAATCTTTCAAAATGCGGTCCGGCTTGGTGGCTTGTGCTTGTAATTCCAGCCCTTTGGGAGGCCGATGCAGGGCGGGTTGCTTGAGCTCAGTAGTTCAAGACCAGCCTGGGCAACATGGCAAAACCCCATCTCTACAAAAATTACAAAACATTAGCTGGGCATGGTGGCACATACCCAGCAGGTTGAGGTGGGAGGATTGCTTGAGGCGGAGGTGGAGGTTGCAGTGAGTTGAGATCATGCCCCTGAATTTCCAGCCTGGGTAAAAAAGTAAGACCCTGTCTCCAAAAAAACAAAAACAAAACAGAAACCAAAAAACCAAAAACAAAACTTTTCAAGATGGAATCCACAGAGGTGGATTCAACCAAAGAAGGTGCCAGACTTAATAGGTGTAAAAACGATAAATCCCTTAATTTATATAATAATATATAAAAACATAATGTTTTCACTTGTGATTGTCACATAAATCCTGTAAGATATGCAGTTTTGGCTGACATTGATAAGCTGATCTTGAGGAAATGCAGAAAACCTTAACAGTCTTGAATAAGAAGAACAAAGAAGAATTAAACTCCCAAATTTTAAAACTTACATCAAACTACGGTAATCAAATTAGTGTGGTACTGGCATTAGGATAAACATACTGATCAGTGGAATAAAATTCAGAGCCTAGAAATAAGCCTTTATGTTTATGATCGGCTGGTTTTTGTTTTTATTTTCAAAGTGCTAAAAAGACAATTTATTAGGAAGGATAAGGTGGTTTCAACAAATGATGCTGGGGCAATTCGATGATATCCACATGACAAAAGATGAATTCGGACTTCTGCCTTACACTGAGCATACAAATTAATTCAAAATGGATTACAGACCTAAATGTATTAGCTGTAAGGTAGGCAGGGCACAAGTATCAGTTTCCCTTTACAGTTGATGAGACTTAGGTCTAGACTAGGTTGTAAGCTTCCTGCTTCACGTAGCTAGTGAGCAATAGAACTAAGATTGGAATACTGGTGTCTTAACTCCGTTATCTTTGCCCCGGGAGCCTGGGCGGACGCGGATGCGTGGTGCGCTGGCAGGTGGCAGCGGTCTGGGTCAGAGGCCTGCAGTGGGTAGACTGGGACCGCGCAGCCTCCCCACACGCACGTGGCGCCTCCCTGTGGGCGTGCACCTGCAACAGTGGGGGTGGCTGGGGCACCTGGGAGCAGGGATTCCCTGCCCTCCGAGGTCTCTCCCAGGCCGCCGCCCGTGCCATTTTCTGGGCTGCTCGCCTTCTAGAAGTTCCTGCAGGAAGCTGGTGATGTGGCCTTGCTGACCCAGGCCTGCCCCCCGACCACTTTGGAGTGGGAGTCAGATTCCAGCCGGGATATGTAGCAGCAGCTTGGTGGCAGGTGACAGGAAAATGGGCAAAAGCCCCAACTGGCTGTAAGGCAACCCCGAGTGCCGGACGTCCTTGTAGGAGGGCCCGGGACAGGACTGCACTAGGCGGGAGTGGAGGCCGCGGCTCCAGGCTGGTCTCGGCCTGGTAATAATTTCACGCTGCCAGCCGGTCACTGTTTAAGGCACTGTGTACCATTTTACTAACTTAATCCTCACAGTGGCCGCATTTCCCAGCTGGGCCAACTGGTGCAGGGTTGACTGGAAGCGACTGGCGCAAAGCTTGGCAAGTATATAGCATAGTAGTAAATGGCTGCCAGCGGTAATTTTGAAAGTTGGCTTTGTGAAGTGTTGGAGCTGCGGCATCTGCTGGTGGCGTGTGGTATTACAGCACCGCGCTGGTTTACCCCAATGGGTTGGGGAGGGTTGTGAGACTGTGGCCCCAGAGCCAAGTGGGCAGTTAGGGGTCTCTGGAGACTGTGGAAGAAAGGGTAGCACAAAAGACAGTAGAGGTGTTCGCTTTGACAGCACATATACTAAAATTGGAACGGTACAGAGAAGATTAACATGGTCCCTGCGCGAAGATGTCACGCAAATTCATGAAGTGTTCCATCAATCAGTCAATCAATCTCTCTCTATATATATTTTAAAAAGACAGTGGGAGACTGCGAAGGAGCTAAAATCTCGAGACGGCACTTTTTTTTTTTTTGGTGCACCAGCAGCTCAGAAGAGTTCCCCAATTGCTGCTTCTCCACCCGCTGCCATGGCGCTGGACCTGGCAGATTAACGACTCTCTGATGGGTTGCCCTGAAATTTGAAAAACAGTGGTTTGGGCCGGGCGCGATGGCTCACGCCTGTAATCCCAGCACTTTGGGAGGCCGAGGTGGGCGAATCACCTGAGGTCAGGAGTTCGAAACCAGCCTGACCAACATGGAGAAACCCCGTCTCTACTAAAAATGCAAAAATTGGCCAGGCTTGGTGGCGCATGCCTGTAATCCCAGCTACTCGGGAGGCTGAGGCAGGAGAATCGCTTGAACCTGGGAGGCGGAGGTTGCAGTGAGCCGAGATCACACCATTGCATTCCAGCCCTGGGCAGCAAGAGCGAAACTCTGTCTCAAAACAAAAACAAAAACAAAACGGTGGCTTAATTAAGCAAAGGCCACAAGAAATAATTGAGATCAAAGAGGAGTGTGTGCCATGGCTATGGAGGGGTTTCAGTTGTGAATCATGAAATGTCATGTAAACCATTTCAAGCATTTCAAGGAGTTTGAATTTTATATGAGAAACAATGGGAAGACGCTGCAAGTTTTAAAGCAGCATCTCAGACATCTTGAAAAAGATGTTTGGATCCCTAAAATAATGAGAAAAGGCCAGAGAGAGGTGTTCTGAACAACTTCAAGATTTTACCAAATGTTGCAAGAACTCTGGAATCCTTATGGTAGGAAAATGCCGTAAAGAAAATCCTCTATTAAAAGAATGTCTAACTGCTCACTACAATGATCCAGCCTTTTATGAAGAATGCAAAATGGAATACCTGAAGGAAGGAAAAATTTAGAAAAACTGGAATTTCTACAAAGAGAAGGCTACGGAAACTTCCTATAAGCCTGTAGGCAAATATTCAAATGATATTCAGGAACTCTTAATATTCATGGAAGTCATTTATAGTATAAATTTGCTTAAATAATGGACTCAAGAATGTGTGTTTGCTCTATCTTAATTATGGAAATATTAATTTTTGTCTGAAAGATTTTATTTCAAAAACAAAAATAAACCCCACACTTCATTAGGGCAGGATTAACATTTGAATTCTACATACATACATCTCAATCTCCTTGACCTTGGTTTCATTGTCTCTAAAGTTAGGATAATGTAGTAGTTAGCAGTCGGTTTCCTCACCCTGTGGTAGGGATTCCTCAATCCAGAAAGTGTACGTGTTAGCTTTGCAGAGCCTCTTCAGGTCTGTGGTATGCTCTCCAGTTGGCATGGGAGGACTTTGAGATCTATGGCTTGCTCTTCCTTTTTAGGCTGACAGAACCCTATACTCTGTTGGACTAAAAGCCCATTTCTCTGATGGTTCCAGTGGAAGGCCTTTGTGAACATTAAATCCCAACTAAGTTAGGGAACACTGTATTTATTTACTTTTCCTTTGGAGTCTGATGCCATTTAGACTGGAAAGTTCTGAAAAATGGAGGTGGGAGTAGTGGGCAGGCGACTATCTCCTTTTCTTTAGTGTGTTCCAAGCTGTAACTTACTAGAGTGCTTTGGCCAAGAGAGCATCTGGTATGATTGGCATGGATTGGAATGACTGTAGACTCTCACTCTGTCCCCAGAGCCATCATGAAGCTGAATGGCCACCAGTTGGAGAACCATGCTCTGAAGGTCTCCTACATCCCTGATGAGCAGATAGCACAGGGACCTGAGAATGGGCGCCGAGGGGGCTTTGGCTCTCGGGGTCAGCCCCGCCAGGGCTCACCTGTGGCAGCGGGGGCCCCAGCCAAGCAGCAGCAAGTGGATATCCCCCTTCGGCTCCTGGTGCCCACCCAGTATGTGGGTGCCATCATTGGCAAGGAGGGGGCCACCATCCGCAACATCACAAAACAGACCCAGTCCAAGTGAGTCCTGGCTCTTGGGAAATGGAGGCTGGTTGCTAGGGAACAGTGGTTGGTACCTAAAGAGGCCCACTAGAAGCCTGGAAGCATGCTGGGGACATCAACATTTACCTTTTAGGAAATGTTGCCTGGAGCGTTCAGGGGTCACTGCTTCCAATACCAGCCTCCTGGGAAAGGGAGGGCAGATAGGGAGGGAGAATGGGTCTTGGGGTGCTGGGCCACACACTTGTATTAGCAAGAGCGGTTCTATAATTTCTCATGCAGTTTCATAAAAAAGTCTCCAAGCAAACCTCATTTTGATGAGTCAGCCACTCCTCAGTCCTCTGTGATTTCATGACCACTTAATGTGGTAACAGGGCTGGCTAACCTGTCCAAAATTAGGACCCTCATAATTGTGTCCCATCTCCCATTCTGCCACTTTCACCTTCTTTCTCTAATCTTTTTTTTTTCTTTTTTCTTTTTTTCTTTTTTCTTTTTTTTGGAGACAGTCTCGCTCTGTCGCCCAGGCTGGAGTGCAGTGGTGTGATCTTGGCTCATGGCAACCTCTGCCTCCCGGGTTCATGCCATTCTCCTGCCTCAGCCTTCCGAGTAGCTGGGATTATAGGCATGTGCCACCATGTCTGGCTAATTTTTGTATTTTTAATAGATACAGGGTTTCACCATGTTGGTCAGGCTGGTCTGGAGCTCCTGACCTCGTGATCCGGCTGCCTCAGCCTCCCATAGTGCTGGGATTAAAGGCATGAGCCACCACACCAGGCCTTTTCTCTAATCGTTATATCTTATCAGTGTACTCAGTGGCAAAGGACATGCCATATTATGTCCTTATCATAGTAACTCTTGTTGTTTACTTTGAGTTTGGGGCACTGTGTCCTCTCTTTATATTTGTTTCAAGGGGGACATACGAAATTCAAGTGGAAATGCAGCTTTGGAACTGTGGGCTGGTAGTTCCCACCCCTGCTGTGTTCTTGTCCCCAGCCACCACTTATTTATTTATCTATTTATTTATTTTTTATTTTTTTGAGGCAGAGTCTCACTGTGTCACCCAGGCTGGAAGTACAGTGGTGTGATCTCAGCTCACTGCAGCCTCCTCCCAGGTTCAAGCAATTCTTGTGCCTCAACCTGCTTAGTAGCTGGAATTACAGGTGTGCACCACCACACCCAGCTAATTTTTTTGTATTTTTAGTAGAGACGGGGTTTCACCATGCTGGCCAGGCTAGTCTCGGACTCCTGGCCTCAAGTAACCCACTCGCCTTGGCCTCCAAAAGTGCTGGAATTATAGGCATGAGCTACTGTGCCTGGCCACCAACCACCTGTGGATTGAGGCATTGCTGGTCTGAGACAGAATCCATAGTAACAGATGGGTCATGTTTCTCCCGTCCTTTCATTGCCCTTCCCAAATTTGTACTTGATTGGCCTTGTTCCAAGAAGAGCAGGTTCTATGCCTTTGACTGAGGAGTGGTGGTGGGGGTGGGGAGCCTGAAGTACTGGAATCACTGGGGACGACTAACCAGCCTTGTCCTTGTGGCCCCCAGGATAGACGTGCATAGGAAGGAGAATGCAGGTGCAGCTGAAAAAGCCATCAGTGTGCACTCCACCCCTGAGGGCTGCTCCTCCGCTTGTAAGATGATCTTGGAGATTATGCATAAAGAGGCCAAGGACACCAAAACGTAAGTCTCCAGCTTTTCTTGGCTCTTCAGGGACTGCTAGTCCAGTTAGTCTCCCCAACTTCCAAGCTGTAATACAGACATATAAGAAATACAGTCAGCAATTGCACAAAAAGATGTAAACTGAGAAATCTTCTTACAGGGACTCTGTCACCTAGGCTAGAGTACAGTGGCATGATCTCAGCTCACTGCAACCTCTGCCTCCGGGTCTCAAGGGATTCTCCCGTCTCAGCCTTCCGAGTAGCTAGGACAACAGGCATGCACCACCACACCTGCCTAGTTTTTTGTGATTTTTGTAGAGATGGGGTTTCGCCATGTTACCCAGGCTGGTCTTGAACTCCTGGACTCAAGTGACTCAAGCTCAGCCTTCTAAAGTGCTGGGATTATAGGTGTGTGCCGCCATACCCCACCCCTTCTTACTCCTGTTGTATGACCTCCTAGAAATTCTGTGCACTCACAAGTGTGTGTATATTGTGTATGCGTGCCTACATGTATGGATATGTGTGCCTGTGTGTATTCATGTGTGCGTGTGTGCACATGTGTTTTAGCTCAGAGAATCACACTGAACAGGCTGTTCTATATTTTTTTCATTTTCTGTATCAGCACGTATATTAGTACATATGGACAGACCTCATTCTTTTTATAACTGCATAGAATTCCACAGTATAGCTATCTGTAGTTCATGTGATCAATCTCCTATTTCTTGATTGGTGTTTAAATTGTTTTAAACTTTTCCTTATCATAAAACAGTGATGCAAGGAATCTGCTTAGACATGTTCCTTTACACACTTGTGCTGTTTAAAATAGCTTTATTGGCTGGGCATAGTGGCTTATGCCTCTGATCCCAGCACTTTTGGAGGCTAGGAGTTCTAGACCAGCCTGGGCAAGATAGTGAAACCTCACCTCTACCAAAAATAGAAAAATTAGCTGGGCGTGTGCGTAGTCCCAGCTACTCGGAAGGCTGAGAAGGGAGGCTCGCGTGAGCCCAGGAGGTCAAGGCTGTGGTGAGCCTTGCATTCCAACCTGGGTGATAAGAGTGAGACCCTGTCTCAAAAAATAAAATAAAGCAAATTGACTTTATTGATGTTCAATTGATGTATAATAAATCATACATATTTTTAAAGTATGCAGTTTGATAAGTTTTGAGATGTTTTACTTGGAAATGCCAAGTCTAGGGTGTCATGGTGATTGAGTCTTCATGATGCCCACAATTGAAGGAGCTGTTGTCTTCCACTTCTTGTTTTGTCTTCCCAAGGGCTGACGAGGTTCCCCTGAAGATCCTGGCACATAATAACTTTGTAGGGCGTCTCATTGGCAAGGAAGGACGGAACCTGAAGAAGGTAGAGCAAGATACCGAGACAAAAATCACCATCTCCTCGTAAGGCTCTCTTCTATTTCCCTATTTATGAGTGGGGGATGCATGGAGGCCAGGGTCAGTATTTCATCATGGAACCTTGACATGTGCTCTTTTAAAATGGATGCTCTTTCTGCCTCTTGAAGGAAAAATAGTAGAAGTGATAAAGAGCATTCAAAAAATCTGTGTAAGGACTGGATCTGCCCATTCCCACTGCCATACGGGGTGGGGTGTTGTAGGGTGCTGCCTCTACAGGCCACGTTCAACCACGTGACAGCCCTCTTTCCCTGTGGCTTGCTGACAGCCTGCAGCTAGGAGCCAGGGACTCAGGGCTTTAGTCCTGTCTGTCACTGTGAGAAGTGACCTTGGCCCTTTTCTGTCTGTGGTGGGCTGCTCCTGCAAGCAGTGTGCTTCTTCATTTCATCAGAGACTAGCCTGTGGGCAAAGTAATTGCTCTTGTCCAAAAAGGTACAGGACATGGATTACGTAGAATCAAGGGAGAAACTTAGAAACACAACCATAATCTGTCTGACATTGGATCCATTGCTAACAGAGGGGTTTGAGTTGGGTGTTGTTATCTCCCTCCGTCTTACTCCCTGCCCTGGTTAAAACTGGGAACACCAAAGACTGGAGATGCAGAGTTATTTGCTAGAAGTTGTATAGGCTGCAGAAGTGGTGGGCGTATGACTCAGCTGGCCTCTCGTCTTTGCTCCTGCCGGAGCCTGGTCCTGGCCTGCCAGTGAAAGGACACGACTCTGCTCTTCCTGCCAGGTTGCAAGACCTTACTCTTTACAACCCCGAGAGGACCATCACTGTGAAGGGGGCCATTGAGAATTGTTGCAGGGCCGAGCAGGAAATAATGAAGAAAGTTCGGGAGGCCTATGAGAACGATGTGGCCGCCATGAGCGTGAGTGCTGGGTAGTACCCTCTGCTTATCCTTTCCTGAGTCTTAGCAACAGCAACTTGTGGGGTGGGGGGTGATGGACACCTGCCCTGTGCCGTGCGGCTTTGGAGCTTTAGTTGATGGTTTTGGATCTCGACTGTCAGAAATAGTATTTAAATAGTATTTAATTAGCAAGGATTCTTCACCTGGTTCCTAGAGTAGGGGTCCAATCTTGGGCTTTGAGTCCTGTGATTCCAAGTATATGTACAATTTGTGTTTGTGTGCACTTTAGTGAAATGCGAGGATCCATCATTGTCATCTGATTTTTTTTTTTTTTTTTAAATTTTTTTGAGATAGGGTCTTGGTCTGTTGCCCAGGTTGGAGCGCAGTGGCACAGTCATAGCTTACTGCAGCCATGACCCCCTGGGCTGAAGGGATACTCCTGCTTCAGCCTCCCAAGTACCTAGGAGACTACAGGTGTGCACCACCATGCCCAGCTAATTTTAAAAAATTGTATTTTTTGGAACAGGGTCTTGCTGTGTCACCCAGGTTGGTCTCGAACTCCTGGGCTCAAGCAATTCTCCTGCCTTGGCCTCCCAAAGTACTAGGATTATAAGCATGAGCCACTGCACGCAACTCATCTCATTTTTAAAGGAGACTTGGGGTTGGTGTACAGGACCAAAAATGTTTAGAACTACAGTCCTAGAAGTCAGATGGAGCTGTCTCCACACCTTTTTCTCATGTAGGGGGATTATAGTACAGTGTCATGAGTCTATCGTCTGTCTCCAGCAGTCTGAACAGCCAGAGAGGAAGAACTCCTGAGGGTGTATAACTGTTTGGCATTTCTGGTTGCAGTTGCTAGCCGTTAGTCCAGTAAGAACATCATATCACTTAAAATTCCACACCTGAAGTGTGTAGGTGAGAGTGTATGAAAAGCACAGAATAGGCTTTTGTGCAAAAGCATGTAATTCATGTTTTTGGCCCACTTCCCCCTGGGGCTACTCGCCTTTTGTACAGCCAGGGCCTGTCAGGGTGTGCTGACTCCTCGTCCTCACCTTTCTTCCCCAGCTGCAGTCTCACCTGATCCCTGGTCTGAACCTGGCTGCTGTAGGTCTTTTCCCAGCCTCGTCCAGCGCAGTCCCGCCACCTCCCAGCAGTGTTACTGGGGCTGCTCCCTATAGCTCCTTTATGGTAGGTGGAAGGTCTTATTACACGGGACCCCTGGGCCCATATGTGGCCTGCCTTAAGGGGGACCCAACACCCTATGGGAGTTGGATGCTTGGCAAATTTGCAGGGAGAGGGAAGGAAGGTCTCGTGGGCATCCCTCCTCTCCAGTGCTCCTAGCCACTGGCTCTGAGGCTCCCAAATGTCTGCCTAGAAAGCTCCTGGGGCATAGGCAGCACTGTAACCTCACTCTTTCCTGGCCTCTTCCCTTTAGCCCTGCTGGGCATTGGAAGAGCTGAAGAGCTCACAGCATCCCTTGGCAGCCCAGGGTGGCAGTTTGGTGTCTATACTCCTTTCTTCTTGAGGATGCAAGGCAGGGGAGTGGAGGGTTTCTGGGCCATGCTACTTGGGCCCCCTGGTAGTAACGCCCCCTGTCCTGGCAGCAGGCTCCCGAGCAGGAGATGGTGCAGGTGTTTATTCCCGCCCAGGCAGTGGGCGCCATCATCGGCAAGAAGGGGCAGCACATCAAACAGCTCTCTCGGTTTGCCAGCGCCTCCATCAAGGTGATCTGCTCTGTGGGTCTTCCTGTTTCTGGAAAGGGAAGGGGCTCTGCTTTTATCACTCTGCACTTTCTCCCACATTCCCCCTACTCATTTGAGAATTCTGTGTGTTATGTGAGGGACCTTTCCCCCATGGAATCAAAGTTCTCTTTGTTTTTGACCTTGCTTGGTTCCCATGGGATGGCTTCAGTGCTTCTGGGTTTTCAGGCTGGGCGGGGCAGGGTTATAACATAGAAAGAGAACCTAGGTTCTAACACCAATTGACTTGGGTTCAAATCCCAGATCCACCTCATCACCCCCTTCTCCCAATACACTATATGATCCGAGCCTCACTTTCCTCATCAGTACAATATTATGAAGCTGTGTAGCCAAAGAAGGCCTTCGCTCACATACTAACACCAAGTTAAGTGTTAGTTGTCTGTCGCCTTCCCTGGTCAAGGTCCAGGAGAGAGAGAAGGGAGAATCTGTCATAGTGAAACAAGGGTGCTGTTAAATTTTCACAAACTTAAATCCAGTTGCTTTAGTTGTCTTAAAAGCTTTGAGCAAAAACCTTGATTGTTCTCCACTGGAGGTGCAGTCACTGCCCTCTATCTGTTGGTCATTTCATTTGTGTCCTTGCCTGTTGGCAGGACTCCACTGAAACCTCTCTGGGAGATTGGTAAATGGAGAGAGCAGGAGGCCCTAGTTAGAAAGTGTCATTGAAGCCAGTCCTTCTAACTGACCACCTCTGCTCTCCTAATAATTCTGGTGTGCAGGCGTAATGATGTGGGCTTCAGAGTCTTTGTTCTTCCTTCCCTAAGTCTTCAGAATGGGTAGTTGGGAGTAAGGGTGGTAGAAGGGCAACTGTGGACATGGTGGGGGTCTTCCCATAGAGGGTCCTTCATTGACAAGCTTTTTGCTTTTTAGATTGCACCACCTGAAACACCTGACTCCAAAGTCCGTATGGTTATCATCACTGGACCGCCAGAGGCCCAATTCAAGGTTTTGGTCTTTATTGTTTTGCAAGCTGAACATGGAGGAATTGAGATTGAGTATTTTCCCTGAGGTAGGAAAAAGGCTGGGGCAGTTTCCCATTAGCCGTCAAGTCCTCATCACATCTTTAAGCCTTCCATGCAGGATAAAGGGCTGCAGAGCTATTTTCAAATTGACATCAAACTGGATTTCTGTTGACTTCGTCTTCCCTTTTTAAGGTCCATAGAAGAAGATGGGAAGGAAAGAAGTCCGAGGGCATCATATTTGCACTCTGCCTCCATTTCTAAGGAAGGCCTTTAATGCCAAATTCTCTTATGTCCCCACTAAATCCTAAGGTTCTTGGACTTCTGATCAGACAGCCAAAAAATAAACCATCAATTAGCTTAACCTAACGTATGTGATGATAGAGGAGTGGGACAGCTCTCTGGGCCACTGGAGAGTCAGACAGGCCTGCTCTCTGTGTGACTTGATTAGTTGCCATTCAGGGCCTTGAAATGCTGGTCAGTGCCATGTCCAGACTCCATAGGTCTGGTTTGTAGCTTGTGAATTCCATTCCTCTGGGAACTGTTTTTTCCCTTGGGAAGTGTTTATTCAGTTACTCATAACTCATAATCTCCACCCAGGGTCTCCAGTATGATAGCTAAGCAGAAGGAGTGCTGACAAGCTGCCCATCTGAGCCTTGTCCTTCACCTGCCTTAGATGGTTAGCCCACCCAGGATGGGGAGGGCCTGTGGGCCAGAAAATATGGGCTGGAGCTTCCTTTTTCCCACTTTTCCCTTTTGTCATAGATATATGAACCACTGATTAACAATTACCTCCTCTTCTCAGGCTCAGGGAAGAATCTATGGCAAACTCAAGGAGGAGAACTTCTTTGGTCCCAAGGAGGAAGTGAAGCTGGAGACCCACATACGTGTGCCAGCATCAGCAGCTGGCCGGGTCATTGGCAAAGGTGGCAAAACGGTGAGCTGTGAGGGCCAGATTGAAAGCCCTGGGCCATGGTCTCCAATCTCAACAGCTGTCTCTGGCCTCCTGTGCTGCTCAATCTCAGGACTCCTAATTTGCTCATTTACTTGATTCTACTCCCCAAACTCAGGTCCTGACTCTTCCAGTTTCTCCCCACTAGTTAACCCTGGTTCCTTCCTCCAACCCCACCCATGCTTTCTTGATGGCACCCTGAGCTCCTCTCTGGCCACCCCCAGGTGAACGAGTTGCAGAATTTGACGGCAGCTGAGGTGGTAGTACCAAGAGACCAGACCCCTGATGAGAACGACCAGGTCATCGTGAAAATCATCGGACATTTCTATGCCAGTCAGGTACATATGGTGCTCCCCCATTGCGGGAGGGCTGCAGGAGCCCAGGGAGCAGAGCAGCAGAGACTCCAGAGGTTGACCTGCTTGACCTTGACAAGTCCTGGGGCCTCAGCCACATCTGCCTGCCTCTGGGCTAGGTTATTGCCCTCTTTCAGGTGCAGAAGTGGGATGTGTAGATGACATATCCCCCCTTATTATTCTCTAGGGAAAGTGATTTGACAAGTTTAATGTATATATATTTCATAGATATGTATGTTCTACATTAGTCCTTCCCTAACCCCTTTCTGCACTGGTTATGAAAGAAGATTGGTTTTGTTCATAGAATAATGATAACAGTACTAATGCTCTGGATTGATTACATTTTTGAAATGTAGTCCCTCTGCCTTTCTCAGAATGGCTGTTCTCTCTCTGGTTTCTGCTCTTCACCCTCCCATTCTTTTCCCAGAACTCATCATCGCTATTCAGCACTTGGACAGGCTCCAGAGCCTGGAAGGGAAGGCCAATATCAGGTTCAAATTTTGCTGAACCTCAGCAAGGCAAGCAAACAGGTGGTTGACAGCTAATGGTGTTTTCCTAAAGTCTTAAATCCATCAGTGTTAGAACTGGAAAGGAACTTTGGAGACTGTTGATCACAGTTCCTACAATTCCTAGAGGATATCCAGATCTTAGCAGGCTTGTGGTCTGCTGGGGCTGCTAGAGCAATTGGGGCAAACTGGCTCTTGGTTTTTTGGCTTCCAGTGCCATATAGTATAGCATCAAGTATGGAGGTTTTGGAGCCAGGGAGCTTTGACCTCAAACTTCACATATATAGCCTTTCTGCTGTGTGACCTTGGATAAGTAACTTTCTCTGGTAACCCTTTGAGAAGTATTTATAAGAGGCTTTCATTACATCTCAACAATATATATATAAAATAACAAATAAAAAAGGAAGTATTAATAAGAGCCATAAAATAATAATAATATCTAAGATTTATGGGTGCCTTTGGATATACCCAGCACTGTTTTTTGTGGTTTATGTATATTAACTCATTTAATTCTCACAACAATTTCATTTTATAAATGAAGCTTAAGAGGGTAAATGTGAATCTTTAATTCAGCTGTTTTTTTTTAAGAGAGTAAATATCCAAAGATGCACAAAGCCAGGATATATTAATATTAAACACGGAAGCAATTTTAGCTGATCAGAAGGAGAATTAAATGAAAAGCTATGTAAAACATCAAGCCATGGTTGATGGAGTTGGACCTCTTATTGACTCCACATTATTTTCCCAACCTAGATGAACTTCCTCTTTTTCTTTCTTTCTTTTTTTTTTTGCGATAGGGTCTCGCTCTGCCACCCAGGCTGGAGGGCAGTGGTGTGACCACAGCTCACTGCAGCCTCTACCTCCCAGGCTCAAGTGATCCTCCCACCTCAGGCCCCCCAAGTAGCGGGGACTACAGGCAGATACCACAACACTCAGCTAATTTTTGTATTTTTTTGTAGTAATGAGGTTTCACCGTGTGGCCCAGGCTAGTCTCAAACACTTGGGCTCAAGTGATCTCACTGCCTCAGCCTCCCAAAGAGCTGGGATTATAGGTCCGCGTCACCACGCTTGGCTAATTTTTGTATTTTTAGTAAAGATTGGGTTTCACCTTGTTGGCCAGGCAGCTCTCAAACTTCTGACCTCAGGTGATTCACCCACCTCAGCCTCCCAAAGTGGATTACAGGCGTGAGCCACCGCTCCTGGCCATATCTGAACATTTTATTCCTTTTCCTGGGGTATTAAAATGAAGCATGGATTTCTGATGATGTCTCCTAAGTTATGATCCTCTATAACAGGGGTCCACAAACTCCGGGCCACGGACTGGTACTGGGCTGCACAGCAGGAGGTGAGCGGCGGACGAGCGGGCATTACCTCCTGAGCCCTGCTTCCTGTCAGATCAGGGCGGCATTAGATTCTCATAGGAGGGTGAACCCTGTTGTGAAGTGCTCCAGGGATGTGTAGTACATGCGAAGGATCTAGGTTGCACACTCCTTATGAGAATCTAATGCATGCTGATTTGAGACTTCATCCTGAAACCACTTCCCCACCCCCACCTCCATCCGTGGAAGAAAAATTGTCTTCCATGAAACCAGTTCCTGGTGCCAGAACAGTTGGGAGTTGGGGACCACTGCTGTACAATGCATAATATATTTCTGCCTAGAAACTCCAGGCATTCTATTTTGGGTTTGGTAATGTGTATCAGCTTTGTCAAATTTTAAATTCTGATGAATGGATTGATACTACTGTTTCTCCTTCCTTCATGTCGCGCAACCTCATCTCCCACTTAAACCCACCACGTTTGCTGTATTTTCCAGGGGATGCTCAGGCTCCACTGGAGGCAAAGAAATGTAAGGTCACCCCACCCCTCATTCTTCCTCTTTATCTTTCCTCTGAGTCCCGTGTGACCTGTTCTGTTTATTGCCTGTGTCTGGACCTGATGACCTCTCTTCCGTGGAAGGCTGTCTCCTTGGAGATCCTCACACCCACCCTCTTGCCTGTTCTTGCTGCAGATGGCTCAGCGGAAGATCCGAGACATCCTGGCCCAGGTTAAGCAGCAGCATCAGAAGGGACAGAGTAACCAGGCCCAGGCACGGAGGAAGTGACCAGCCCCTCCCTGTCCCTTCGAGTCCAGGACAACAACGGGCAGAAATCGAGAGTGTGCTCTCCCCGGCAGGCCTGAGAATGAGTGGGAATCTGGGACACCTGGGCCGGGCTGTAGATCAGGTTTGCCCACTTGATTGAGAAAGATGTTCCAGTGAGGAACCCTGATCTCTTAGCCCCAGACACCCACCCAATTGGCCCAACATTCTCTGCCCCTCGGGGTGTCAGAAATTCTAGCGCAAGGCACTTTTAAACGTGGATTGTTTATAGAAGCTCTCCAGGCCCCACCAAGAGGGTGGATCACACCTCAGTGGGAAGAAAAATAAAATTTCCTTCAGGTTTTAAAAACATGCAGAGGGGTGTTTTAATCAGCCTTAAAGGATAGTTCATTTCTTGACCTTAACATTTTTCCAATTTTCTTCCCCCTACTTGGGTAATTGATTAAAATACCTCCATTTGCTGCCTCTTTCTATATTTACACTAATTGTTTTATCTTTATTGCTACCAGAAAAAAATGCGAACGAATGCATTGCTTTGCTTACAATATTGACTCAAGGGAAAAGAACTGTCAGTATCTGTAGATTAATTCCAATCACTCCCTAACCAATAGGTACAATAGGGAATGAAGAAGAGGGGAAAATGGGGAGAAAGATGGTTAAAACACATAATAATCCACGTTTAAAACAAGTGCCCTTGTGGCTGATCTGTTCCAGATCACCATCTTCAAATTGGCACAACCGAAATTTCCCCACTGTGTTGGGGCTTCCCCACTACATTCACGTCCCTCTCCCGTGTAGGCTTCACATTATGTCCAGGTGCACATAGGTGGTATCGAATGCTCAGCAGGGTAGGGGCTGACCACTGTCCCTGATTCCCATCGTTCTCAGGCGGATTTTATATTTTTTTAAAGTCTATTTTAATGATTGGATATGAGCACTGGGAAGGGGACGCTAACTCCCCTTGATAAAGTCTCAGTTCCATGGAGGACTTAAGTGGCCCCAAAGGCTGCCACGGTGCCCTCACCCCAGCCCATGTGCTCCCATAAGGGCTGGTTCCTAGAGGCAGGGGTTGTGGGGCACTCCCAGCCACGGCACTGTTTCCTTGGTGGTGGGACTTGGAACCCAACCCTGAGCTCCCGATAAAGCTAAAGTCCATCATCTGGCAAATTGAGTAAATTGGAGAGTACTTGCTTCTGTTTGTATCTGAGAGGAATTTTTAACTGATGGCTTCTGTCTCTATGAATCATTATCAGCATGATGAAAGGTGTGTCTAAAAAACAATTCAGAATACCAGCAGCATTGTACAGCAAGGGGTAAATATAATTTATTATTTATTTACCAGGCTTAATAAGATCCTATGGAGTGTTTAGCCCTTGTAGGGGACGGAAGCCATCAGTTAAATGAGGCTAGGCCTCCCCTCCTAATATACTGATTGACAATGCATATTAGCCAGGTAATGCACTTTAGCTACCCTGGACAATGCTATCAAGTGTGTGGGAAGGGAGGAAGGCCTCTCTACATATGGAAAAGCCCATGCGTGGAGTTCCCCTCCTTTCAACATTGCAACAACAGTAACAACAAGACAACCGCAACATGTGGGTGTAGTCAGGCAATGCTGTGTGCGAAGTAAACTACCTCAAGGTATGAAGTTACCTCAGCAATTATTTTCCTTTTTGTTCCCCCCAACCCCATTAAAAAAATTTTTTTTATTTTTGTTTTTTTGCGGCTTGCTGATATTTTATATAAAAAAGAAAAAACAAAAGAGAAGCTGATAGTCTTGAATATTTTATTTTTTTAATGAAAAGAAAAAACAAAGTTATGTTTCATAATTTCTTACATGAGCCAGTAACCCTTTAGGAACTCTATGGAGAACAGGCCTGATGGGAAAGGCTTTGGGGGCTGCCCCCTTAGGAGGAGGCTAGTGCTAAGAGGAAAGGCCTGGGTTTGAGAGAGCCCAGAGGGGCAGAGCCCAAAGCCTTGTTTGGCCCTGATCCCTGACTTCTAGAGCCCCAGCTGCTGGCCACTGCTGGAATATCCTACCTGATAGGATTAAAAGGCCTAGCAGAGCTGGGGGCTCTCAGTGGTTAAACAATGCCCAACAACCAACCACCTGGCCCTTGGTCTCTTCTCTTTCCTCCTTTGGTTAAACAGCATCTCAGCAAGCTTTTCCCACCAGTGGTGCTGTTGAGATATTTTAAAATATTGCCTCCGTTTTATCGAGGAGAGAAATAATAACTAAAAAATATACCCTTTTAAAAAATCTATATTTCTCCGTCTAAAAATATGGGAGCCGAGATTCCGTTCATGGAAGAAAGACAAGGCCACCCTCTCGCCCTCAGAGAGGTCCACCTGGTTTGTCATTGCAGTGCTTTTCATTTTTTTTTGTTGTTGTTACTGTTTCATTTCAATTCCGTCTTGCTGTTCTTCTTAATCTATATCCATAGATCCAAGGGGCAAACAGATACTACTGCCCCCGCCTCTGTCTCCCTGTCTTCTTTAGATCAGTCTGATTGATTTTAAAAGTGGACCCAAACTTAGGGAATTCTTGATTTAGGGTGGCTCGTGGCAAGGAGGGGCAGGGAATATGGGGACGTGACTGGGACAGGTTCCTGCCTTATCACTTTCTCCCTAGGACATTCCCTTGTAGCCCCCAGAACTGGCCCAAATTGAAGAGAAGCAGAAAAGCATTTAGGGATCACATCAGGCCAGTAGCATTAAGCCTCTCCACCTGTCCCAACCATAAAAAGGGTCTCCCAGCTCTCCATCTCTGGCTCTGTGTGCTTTGTCCCAAAACAAAGCAGATAACGTTCAGACGTCGGCCATTTAATAATTTAAAGCGAATTTCCAGCAGCAAGCATGCTTTGATATCTGGTTCAGACTATCATCAGGAAGAAAAAAAAAAATCCCACAGTACCTGAAATGTGATTGTTGCAGTGTTCAGTTTCCTTGGGGGCCTGCTCCCTTCACACCTTGAGCCGAAGTCCTTTTCCGTTGGCTGATTCAGCTCCCAGAAGAGACCAGGAAGTGTGTGGCAAGGGACTGGAAAACTTCACTTGCTTGGATTAGGCAAGGCTCCACTCGTTGATATTTGCCCAGCAGGAAAATCGTGGAAGTTATACCACCAGAAAGCAAAAGGAGCATGGTTTGGTGGTTAAGGTTTAGTGGGATGAAGGACCTGTCTTGGTGGGCCGGGCCCTCCTGTGTCCCATAGGCTAGGTCTTAGGGCAACTCCTTGCCCTCCTGCTCAGCACCTCCATTTCCCCATCCTTGGTGAGTTAACAAGCTATCGCGAAAAGCACTTGGGAGATTTGGATGATTTGAGAAGAGTGACTTAAAAAAAAATGCTTCTGTGCTCTAAGATATATATGTGTGTGTGTGTGCTACATATATATTTTTAAGAAAGGACCATCTCTTTAGGATATATTTTTAAATTCTTTGAAACACATAACCAAAATGGTTTGATTCACTGACTGACTTTGAAGCTGCATCTGCCAGTTACACCCCAAATGGCTTTAATCCCCTCTTGGGTCTGGTTGCCTTTTGCAGTTTGGGTTGTGGACTCAGCTCCTGTGAGGGGTCTGGTTAGGAGAGAGCCATTTTTAAGGACAGGGAGTTTTATAGCCCTTTTTTACTCTTTCCTCCCCTCCTCCCAGTCCTTATCAATCTTTTTTCCTTTTTCCTGACCCCCTCCTTCTGGAGGCAGTTGGGAACTATTCTTATTTATGCCTCACTATTGGCAGAAAAGACCCCATTTAAAAGAGAATACTGGAGAGGGATCCTCTAGTTGGTTCTGTGTCCATTTTCCTCTGTGCCAAAGACAGACAGACAGAGGCTGAGAGGCTGTTCCTGAATCAAAGCAATAGCCAGCTTTCGACACACACCTGGCTGTCTGAGAAGGAAGGCCTCCTGGAAACTGGGAGCTAAGGGTAAGGCCCTTCCCTTCAGAGGCTCCTGGGGGACTAGGGTGTGGTGTTTGCCAAGCCAAGGGGTAGGGAGCCGAGAAATTGGTCTGTCAGCTTCTGGTTGCACTTTGGGGAAGGAGAGGAAGTTTGGGGCTCCAGGTAGCTCCCTGTTGTGGGACTGCTTTCGGTCCCCTGCCCCTACTGCAGAGATAGCACCGCCAAGTTCCCTTCAGGCCTGGCAGACGGGCAGTGAGGAGGGGCCTCAGTTAGCTCTCAAGGGTGCCTTCCCCTCCTCCCACCCCAGACACACCCTCTGCCAAACTGGGAACCAGCAGTGCTAGTAACTACCTCACAGAGCCCCAGAGGGCCTGCTTGAGCCTTCTTGCTCCACAGGAGAAGCTGGTGCCTCTAGGCAACCCCTTCCTCCCACCTCTCATCAGGGGTGGGGGTTTTCTTTTCTTTCCCCTGAAGTGTTTATGGGGAGATCCTAGTGGCTTTGCCATTCAAACCACTCGACTGTTTGCCTGTTTCTTGAAAACCAGTAGAAGGAAAACAGCACAGCCTGTCACAGTAATTGCAGGAAGATTGAAGAAAAATCCTCATCAATGCCAGGGGACATAAAAGCCATTTCCCTTCCAAATACTCGATAATTTAGATGCAGAACATTTCTCTTAGAGTAACACCAGCTGAAAACTTCAGTTTCTTACCTTTGGATACATAAGGCTTCTCTATCGGGGTACGGGACAGGGAGAAGGCCTCATGTCTGAAGGGGGATTTAGGGGCTAGAGCCCCAACCCTGACCCTTGGCCCTGTGCACCGCTTTGGGGCACAGTCTGATGGCGCCTTTGCTGGCGTCTTAGTATGGTTGACTCCGGACGGACAAAAGAAAAAAATTTTTTTCTTTAATGAAATAGCAGGAAGCTCCTCGGGAGCATGTGTTTTGATTAACCGCAGGTGATGGATGCTACGAGTATAAATGGATTAACTACCTCAATCCTTACAGTAAGATTGGAACTAAGGGCAGGGACTCGTGCATAAGGGTATGAATCCCAGCCAGGACAAGTGAGTTGAGGCTTGTGCCACAAAAGGTCTGTCCTTGGGGAACAGGCAGGCCTGCCAGGATCCCCCCATATCGATTGGGCTGGGAGGGCTGGCCGTGAGGTCCCCACTTTCTGCGTTCCTTGCCCATGTGTCACCCCTTTGGCCTCCAGCTTGTCTCTCTCTCACTTTCTATAGCTTTGTTGGACCAGATGGTGAGGAAGGGAATGGCCTCCTCCCTTCTAGAGGGGACTGGCTGGAGTGAGACCTGGGGCTTGGCCTGGAACCCACCACACAGCCCCAAAGTCAGGAAGCCTGGGGAAGCCAGAGCTGAGACCTCTTCAACAGGGTTTCTTTGAGATCCTACACCTCCATTGGGCCCTTTCTCAGTCTTCAAGGGGGGCCCAGTTGGCTCTAGAAGAAGAGGTGGAGCAGGATCCTTTGCCCTGGTTGAGTCTGAGGGCCCAGTCCTTGGACTCATTCAGGCCGTCTTTGTAGTTGGGGGAGTTTCACTGGGCGATCCCAGCCTCTCCCCACCCTCTAATGGACCTCCTCATAGAAGCCCCATTTCACTTTTGTTTTATCTACCTCTTAGCAAAACAATAGATAAATTAGGTAGTGGCAACTCCACTTGCTTAGGTTAGGGGGGGAAAAAGATTTCTTTTTCCAAAGGAAAAAAAATATTACCTTGAGAATACTTTCCAAAAAATAAAATAAAATAAAAAACCAAAAAAAAAATTTTTTTTTTTTTAAAGAGGGAGACATTTTCCAGTGACCACTGGATTGTTTTAATTTCCCAAGCTTTTTTTCCCCCATAAATAAGTTTCACTCTTTGGCGATTTTCTTCACTTGTTTAAGATAACGTGCTAGCTAATCTAACAGGTAACAGCTTTCACTGTCTGCCCCTGGCTTGTCTCACCCCATCCCCCACCCTATTCCTGCCAGTGAGTCCTTCCTGTGCTTCTCTCCCTTCTCCCCTCCTAGCCAGCTGACTTCAGTCACCCCCGCCCCTCCCCCCTGCCAACAAGCCCCCTAGGAATAAAGGCTTTGTTTTGGGGATGCTTAAATCTTGACTGCACTTCCCCGCTTTGGGGGCTGGGGAGCCACTTGTAACATTTCTGTGCAGATTTTATGTTAGCCACTGCTATGTAAAAGCACGTTCAAAATGAATTTCAGCAGATTATGTGTTACCATAATGAATAAATGTCCTCTACCACATTTGGAGTCTCCCTTTTCTCCAGAATCTTGATCCTGGTCCCCAAAACCAGAATGAATCAAAAGAGCTTCCTCCCCTGAGGCAAAGTGGATTTGTAAGCAGTTCTGAAACATCACTTACTCAGAAGAGGGAAAGATGTATTTTGATGAGTGCAAATCGGGAAGGGCTGGAGGCCTACTGCTTGGGACTGGTTTTTTAAAAATATGAGTGCTACCTTATTCTGTAGTTGCAGCAACTTTGAAAATTGTATTTTACTGGAAATCTGCCGGCCATCACCACCCGATTTTGATTGTACCCTTCCTCCCATCCTCTAATCTGTTCATTGCTTTGGGGGAGGTGGGGCAGCTGGCTCACACGTTGGAGTTTGTTCTTTGATGGATGAACTCGAGTTTTCTTTCCCGTGAAGGTTGTTTCAGCCACAAACCACTTCATTTTGCTGTTTCAATTTCAAAATAAAAGGAAACTTATATTGAAAGACAAGTATGTCTGTGTCTCAGGGTTTTTGGGTCTGGGAGCTGAGATGCTCAACCTCAGCATGGGAGCCCTGGTTCCCAGGGACCTGAGTCATCCAAATGCAAAGTAGGCATTTTCCTTCAACGTACAGAAGAGTGGTTTTTAAATGGTGCCCTGCTCTTAATTAGCTTTGCATGTTGGCGGGGGGCAGGTCAGGTGTTTGGAATGAGGGTTCCAGCATTAAAGAAGATGTTGGGACATCACTGCAGAGAAGTAGCTGTCCAAGAAGTGATGAGGATGTGTCACTCTTCATAACACCCTAAGAAAAAAAACCCAGAAACATAGGTCACTTACATTACAGGTGTGAGCCACTGTACCGGCCCTTAATAAACTTATAATTTAGTAAAGGGGTCACTTAAATATCCTAAAGAAAAACAACCAGGTTGGGCACAGTGGCTCACGCCTGTAATCCCAGCACTTTGGGAGGCCTAGGCAGACGGATCACCTGAGGTCAGGAGTTCAAGAACAGCCTGACAAACATGGAGAAACCTTGTCTCTACTAAAAGTACAAAATTAGCCAGGTGTGGTGGTGCATGATTGTAATCCCAGCTACTTGGGAGGCTGAGGCAGGAGAATCACTTGAACCGGGAGGCGGAGATTGTGGTGAGCAGAGATAGTGCCATTGCACTCCAGCTTGGGCACAAAAGCGAAAATCTGTCTCAAAAACAAAAACAATTTTAAAAGTTATAAGTGGGCTGTTGGGCGCGGTGACTCACGCCTGTAGTCCCAGCACTTTGGGAGGCTGAGGCGGGCGGGTCACGAGGTCAGGAGATTGAGACCATCCTGACTAACAGGGTGAAACCAGGTCTCTACTAAAAATACAAAAAAAATTAGCCAGGTGTGGTGGCGGGCGCCTGTAGTCCCAGCTACTCGGGAGGCTGAGGCAGGAGAATGGTGTGAACCTGGGAAGCGGAGCTTGCCGTGAGCCGAGATAGTGCCACTGCACTCCAGCCTGGGCGACAGCAAGACTCCGTCTCAAAAAAAAATGTGATAAGTGGGTCAGGTACAGTGGCTCACGCCCGTAATCCCAGCACCTTGGGAGGCTGCGGCAGTGGGTCATCTGAGGTCAGGAGTTTGAGACCAGCCTGGCCAACATGGTGAAACCTCACCTCTACTAAAAATGCAAAAATTAGCCGGGTGTGGTGGTGTCCGCCTGTAGTCCCAGCTTCTCTGGAGCCTGAGGCAGGAGAATCACTTGAACCAGGGAGGCGGAAGTTGCGGTGAGCCAAGATCTAGCCAGTGCACTCTAGCCTAGGTGACAGAGCAAGACTCCATCTAAAATAAATAAATAAATAAATCAATAATAAGAAGAATTAGAAGACCACAGCAGTGATATCTAGAATAAAAAAAAAGAGCAAAAGAGCAAAGCAATACAAAACAGAAAAGAAGAGCTAAGAAATACAAAGGATAGTTGTAGAAGTGCTAACATCCAGACACTTGTGTTAAGAGAGAGAAATAGCAGGAGAAATATTAAAGAAAAACAATAGAGATTAATTTCTGAGAGTTCACAAACTTGTCAAACCTCAGATTGAAAGGGCCCATAGCTTGCCAAAGCTAATAGAGTTGGAAAATATCACATCTACATACATTCTAGTGATATTTAAGTCGATCAAAACCAAAGAGAAAATTCTAAGAGCAAATTGCATATAAAGAAATAAGAGGCCGGGCGGATGGCTCATGCCTGTAATCCCAGCGGGAGGCTGAGGCGGGTGGATCACAAGGTCAAGAGTTTGAGACCAGCCTGGCCAATACGGTGAAACCCTGTCTCTACTAGAAATACAAAAATAAGCCAGGTGTGGTGGCAGGTACCTGTAATCCAAGCTACTCGGGAGGCTGAGGCAGGAGAACCGCTTGAACCCAAGAGGCGTGAAGTTTCAGTGAGCTGAGATTGTGCTATTGCACTCCAGCCTGGGCAACAGAGAGAGACTCCGTCTCAAAAAAAAAAAAAAGAAAGAAAGGGTGCAGTGACACACCTGTAATCCCAGCACTTTGAGAGGATGAGGCAGGTGGACCATGAGGTCAGGAGTTTTGAGACCAGCCTGGCCAATATGGTGAAACTCCGTCTCTACTAAAAATACAAAAATAAGCCAGGTGTGGTCGTGGGCACCTGTAGCCCCGGCTACTCGGGAGGCTGAGGCAGGAGAGTTGCTTGAACCTGAGAGGCGGAGGTTGCAGTGAGCTGAGATCGCGCCACTGCATTCCAGCCTGGGAGACAGAGTCTCTGTCTTAAAAAACAAAAACAAAAACAAAACCAGACTGATAATATATTTTTTAACAGTAATACTAGGTACAAGAAGATATTGGAGAAGTAAAGAAGTTTTAAAAATATGGAAGCACAATAACTTAAAATACAGGTTTTTTACATCCAGCCAAAGTGCTCAAATATAGGTGCCTGGTAATAAGATCCCCAGGAATGCACGGCTTCAGAAGTTTTGTCCTGCAAGGTCTTACAAACAAATCAGTAGTTTTGGATGAAATATTTTAAAAAGAGGTGAGACAAGACAAGGAGATACTGTAAGAGATGTATGAGAGTTTGTTGTCTTAACAGAATTAACTGAGGCCAAAGAAAAAAGAAAAGTTTTATCCATTATAATCCAGAAATAAAGAGATAAGTCTAGAAATATTAGCACCATGAAGCTGGAGGAAGCAACCAAGGGGTATGTGAGTGTGTGATGATGGAGATAGATAGCTTTTTTTTTTTTTTTTTAAGATTGTGTCTCTCTCTATTGCTTGGGCTGGAGTGCAGTGGCACCATCTGGGCTCACTGCAACCTCTGCCTCCCGGACTCAGGTAATCCTCCCACCTCAGCCTCCTGAGTAGCTGGGACTACAGGTGCATGTCTGATTTTTTTTTTTTTTTTTAAATAAGGGATTTAGAAAGAAAATGAAAAGAGGTCAGCTATTTGGAATAGAAAATCAAGGCAGAGGGTAACAAGAGGCCTGAGATGGAACCTGGGGGAGATAGGAGGGACACGGTGGCCAGCCTCAGGTTTTTGTTGAAATGTCACCTGAGAGCTCAGAGACACCTTCTATGACCATCGAGGGATCTTGCAACCTCTTTCCCAAACCCAACATGCTCTCTTCCCTTTGTCAACTTCAATTTTTATCTACAGAAAATTCTCTAATTGACTGGGGCGTGGTGGTTCACTCCTGTAATCGCAGCACTTTGGGAGGCTGAGCGGGACAGATCACGAGGTCAGGAGATGGAGACTATCCCAGATAACACGGTGAAAACCCATCTCTACTAAAAATACAAAAAAATTAGCCGGGTGTGGTGGCACGCACCTGTAGTTCCAGCTACTCGGGAGGCTGAGGCAGCAGAATCACTTGAACCCAGGAGGTGGAGGTTGCAGTGAGCTGAGATCGCGCTACTGCACTCCAGCTTGGGTGACAGAGCGAGACTCCGTCTCAAAAAAAAAAAAAAAAAAAGAAAAGAAAATTCTCTAATTTACCATTGTCTGACATACTGTATACTTTCCTTATTTAATCTGTACTTCATTGTATATTTATTTTACCTTTTGAATTTAAGTATAGCACACATACAGAAAAGTGCACAAATCATAAGTGAATTAACGAATTCACAAACTGAAAATATACCGCTATCACCAACACCCAGATCAAGAAAGAGGACATCACCAGCACCCCTGAAGGCCACTCATGCTCATCTCTTTCCCATCCCCAGCAAAGGTAGCCACCATTCTGGCTTCTAACTTATTTACTCTCTGCCATACCTCTAGAATCTAACCTCCATGCAGGCAGGGATCTTTGTTCTGTCTGTTCTGTTTTCTAGTAGGGTAATAACTCTGCTATGGCACCATGGTGACCTTGCATGTATTCACGCAGGCAAAGGCTTGAGACGCAGCCTCCCTGAGTTTTGGCAGAATGCCTTGTGATCCTCCCAGAACACGAGGGGACTGCAGGCCTGTAAAGGGCTACTATGAGGTCAACTCCCACCTGCCTCTCTCTCCCAGAAGACTGTCATGAAACTGTTTTTCATGACTCCTGGATTCTGATTACTCAGTCTGCCCCCTCCCTCCCTCAGAGTAGAGTGCAGGATACCAAACCACAGAGCTGTAGCCTCAGCTTGGCTCCTCCTCAGTAGGGTGTTCCATACTTCGTAGGACAAGGATCATGGGAGCAGGTGCCTTTGGCTTATCCTTCTTTTCACCACTGATGTACTAACGTGGAAATCTAAGAGTGACTCGTATCTTTTTTTTTTTTTTTTTTCTGAGACGGATTCTCGCTCTGTCGCCCAGGCTGGAGTGTGATGGTGCAATCTCGGCTCACTGCAACCTCCACCTCCTGGACTCAAGCAATTCTCCTGCCTCAGCCTCCCAAGTAGGTGGGATTACAGGCGCCCGCCACCGTGCCTGGCTAATTTTTGTATTTTTGTAGAGATGGGGTTTCACCATGTTGGCCAGGCTGGTCTTGTACTTCTGACCTCATGATCCACCTGCCTCGGCCTCCCAAAGTGTTCGGATTACAGGCATGAGCCACTGCACCCAGTCTCATTGTATCTTTACTGGTTGAATCAGTCAGATCTTGGCCTTGCCTTATCTTGTACTCAGGAGTTTGACAAATTTGCCACCCAATGGTGGGGACTGTAAAGTTACAGTGCCCTTAAAAGATTACCCAAAGCTGAGTATGGTGGGTCACACCTGTAATCCCAGCTAGAGCAGGAGGATGGCTTGAGCTCAGGAGTTCGAGACCAGCCTGGGCAACAAATCGAGACCTTGTCTCTACTTTATAAAATTAAAAAAAAGAAAAATGACTTGAGGCTTTGTGAGATAATATAAGGGGATGATTTGTGTGCCCCAGTATCTGCTAGCATGGCCTTCACCTGAGTGGCAGGTGAGAGAGAAGGAGTAGGATCTTCCCACTCTCCTACTCATTCAGGGGCTGCATGGATCCAGTTAGGGGATGGGACTTCCAGGGAGCTGGCAGCTCATGCCACCTTGTTGATAAACA